AAGTTTTTCCCAGCAATAAAGTCCTGCAGTTGGGTCCTGCATCCTGCCTGCCACAGCACACATTGACAGTTATACACAGTATCTCCACTAATACTGAATATTCACACCAAAACAATCTGGATAAGAATCACTACGGGGCAGAAGAATAACATGCATATTAAGTCTTTCTCAAACTCTTGTCATGAACTTTGCGATAACTCTGGCACTGGCGACTCTCAGCTGCCACTTCATTACCTCCCCTCTGTACAGCTCTCTGCATGCAGCCTTAGCTTAATGGTCTCTAACCACTTTTGCTTGTTTCAGGCCGTCCTTACCACCATCACTTTCCGTATCTGCCCTGTTTGTAAATTTCTTACTTTTTATACAGTGTCTGCAGAAAGATTGTCGCGTTTGGGAATCTGTCTTTGTTCAGTGCATAAAGCCCCTGAATATTAATGCAGCAAAGTCCTTCATTTCACCAGCAAAAGCAGACAAACAGAGAATGAAAACATCCATGCTATGCATAAACAGCTCAGTAATTACTTGTGAATTTGGCAGTTGCGAATCAATTAATGTGAAGTTGCTCTGAAGTGCACTTAGTTTTAGTAGAATCCAGAGAGGGTACTTCCACATGCATGCATGATAAATTTTGGCCGTGCTGATACGCTGGTATCCGGGTCTGTTTTTTCTCTCCTTCAGGATTGTGTGATCCTCTCAGATTTCTTTCACCTGCTGGTAATTGCTTCATTCTGCGATTAGCCCTAACCTACGCCCCGTTTCCTAATTAAACTTCTTGAACGACTTCTCCTTTTGTCAGATCTTACTTTTGGTTTCTGCGTTTTTAAGCCATTTTCTGTTTTTGTCATCATTTGTTTACTTTGTGACCTTCCTCTGTCTCCTGTGTGCTCTCATCACCCTTCATGACTAAAATAATCCTTATTTAGCTTATACTGGACCCTTAGATCATTATTCACCCCAGACAGATTGTCTTTGCTCTCTTCCTCCTGTCTGTCTGCTGTGATGGTGTGTGTCAGACTGGGAGGGTATGGAGTCAAACCTTGAACTGCGCCTTGTTTCCAATCAGTTTTTGCCATATTTCACAACTCGTATGATGTCAGCAGGAAAGACGGTGCTGATTACCAAGACCGGGGAAAAGAATGCGAACCTGCACCTACCTACATGAAAAAAGTCATTGCGTATTTGCTTTGTGATGTTTACACAACTTTCTGCTGGGAAACTGGAAGCTGTCCTATCTCAGGTGTCCCACATTATCTCACATTGTTCAAGGGTTGTACTCTGTCCATTATTCCTGATCTGAACCAACACCCTGAATAGTCCATATCAGGTCATGAGCAGGCTGTTGTTGTGTCATAGGCCAACTTCCGTCTGATTGGCTGTCAATCGGGATCAAAACGGCAGGTGGGGTCTTCACAGCTGACAGCTGGAGCTGTGGCCTGACATCACAAAGGAACACGTTCTCTTTCTGCCATGCTATCAAACCAATCAGACCTGGCATAAAATAATCTGATCATCTAGTAATATAAGTACATAAATTAATATCCTTCTCCACCTTCAAAACAATCACCATCACCAAAACTTCGTCCATGTAAAATGTGTTTATTTTGACCTTTTTTAGAGAACTTTCAGGTTCAGGTTTATACATTCTGAAGCCAGTCTCATGCAGTTCCTATTTCTGTACACCTTATCTAGCCTTGCTGTGGCCTTAGCAAAGGCACGCGGAAGGTGAGAAATGGCATCTGAACAGGTGTAAATCACAGCAGCGATGTTAAGCCTTTGATTTACAGCCCTCGCTCCCTCTGAAGGAGGAAGAGATAAAGACATCAATCATTACCTGTGGGCAAGGGTTTGGTTTCTTTATACTTCTTTCAGGTACCTCATCAATATTTTTCTTTTCTGCGTGATAAGGTGGGTGGAATTATTGCTTAGCGGGAGTGCCGTGACCCCACAGACACTATGTAGGTGGGCCTGGTGTTATCTGAATGAACTCGGTCAGCTCGAACGACACACAGCGTGCTCAAGCTGTGAGCCTTGACATAGCTTCACATTGTGTGCTCAGCTAAGAATTTTATAAATGTGTAGCTATTTATTCAAAAGCCTTTTTTAATCCTGCCATTTGGAGTCAAAGAGGGAATCTTGAACTTGCTTTTTTGTGTGACCAAACTCCGAAAATATTTCATCTAAAACTACAACAAAGACAGAAATCAGAACATTTAGGATTCTGGAATCACAGATTGTGTAAATGATTTAAATGTGAAATCATTTAGACAGTGAATTTTCTCTTTATTGATTGATTACTCTACTAATTTATCAATAAAATGCCTGTGAGCTGGATGAAATAGGTCGATTTTAGGGTTAAGTGTGCACGAACAGAAAAAGCGGGACTCTTGTTAGAGAGCGATGTGCCAGATTTTTGAAAGGTTATTTTTGGCAAATTATGCAAACTTTCCTTTGGATTTTTTTTTTTTTTTTTGTACGTCTGTAGGCACAGTTTTTATGTCCAGGTGTAATCATTGACCTTTCATTTATTTGTATGCTCTAAAATAACTGAACGTGACAGCTCCCAGGTGTTTCAGGAAGGCTACTGAGTGCTGAGATCTGCTTTAGAAGGACTGAACTGAATGATGAATTGCACTGGACTGTAACATGCACGCGTCTTCAGCATAAGTTGCCATAGTGATCTAGGTTAAAAAAACAGAAAAGCTGCATTAGTGACACTGAAAATTGCTTTGGGCTGCATTCAACCTCAACAAAACCAGCTGTTACGTCCCCGTAGCAGCTTTTTAGAACACACGTCAGTGCTGGTTTACATTTCCTGAAAGGCGCACCATAACGTTGCTCCTTGTTTTCAGATTGAATGTGCCTCGCATTGTGAGGTGCAACAAAGGGACCATAAAACCCTTTATAGAGTTTGTATGATGAGCGTGTTCACTCTGTTTACAAATCCAGAGTTGTGCTTTCGTTGTGAGAAACGGTGAAATGAAAGATCTGACTTCTATTCTTTCTTTCTAAAGGCCAAAACAAAGCATTCAGAATGTTTCACGCAGTCAACAGCTTACATGGTTCACCTGGTCAGTTTTGCCCTCCAGGCCACAAAAGCTGCTTTCACTGCAATTGTTGCTCTAGCTTCTTTTCCTCTTACTCACCCGTTGGGTCATAAAATATCAGTTAACGGGGTTTCAGCACCTAAACTGACATCTTGAAATGAAAACTCGTTTCATGAGTAATATTTTGTCTTTTTATAGACTTTTATTATATTTGACTTCCTGCCTGTGCTGTAGTAAACAGTCTGTTTCATAACAGACTTCAGAGGATGGTGCATCCATCACTGATCAAACCCAAATTTCACACTTCCTTAAAATAATTCTGTTCTCGTCTTACTGTCTAACACTTGGGAAGCTGCACATGCAGTGAGAGCCTTTGCTCAGATTTGCCTGCAATGGGAAAAGGTGATAGAGGCAAGAGGCGAACAGAAGAACTTGTGAAGAACACATGAGTTTCTCTTTGGCAACCTTTTGATACTGATGTCCAACACAAGTGATTATATATAACGATATAAATAATCCTAGAAATAAAAAACTGACCATCAGATTTTAGTGTTTTGTGCAGATGTTGCTCCAGTGCTTTTCTCAGTGTTGCATGCTGAGTTCTCGGTCTGACCCTTGCAGATGCTTTTTGCTATGGAGAGTAGCAACAGTCTGCATTTTTCCATTTCTTATTCTTATTCGCTGCTTTGGATCATTTGTGTATTTAAACATGTGTGGCCTTTTTTACCTTTGTGCATCCCTCTAATGCTTCCTGTAAGGTCCTGTGACAGTTGTTGTGATCAACATGTGGCTTAAGGACAGCAGTCGTTAACCTGACTTAATATGGATTTATTTATAGGCAGGTACACCTCTACAAAGCTTTTAGTGGATATTTTAGCACAGGGGTATCAAACATAAGGACCAGGGACCACAGTTGCCCAGGTGAAGATTCCAATCCAGCCCAAAGGACAGCTTTGGAACATGTGAAGGAGGAGACCTCACCTGTGGCCTTTCATACTACAATAAAGTAATAAACAATTCAATGACAGAGATGGTCCTGCTTTTTTCACTATGGGCTATGGAAATATCAATTTTATAAATCAATAATAAAAATAGAAAATCTTCTGTGAATTAACAAAAATGCTCCAATTACAGGATCGTCTGGCCAATCAGCAATCAGAATTTTCTGTAATTTTACACATTTATTTTTCAGTTTAGGCCCAATGAGTCACTGCTTTTACCTTTACTACAACAGGGTTTCTTTGTAATATAGACATGTTGTTGAACTCAGTCTTCTTTTTCTTATACTGACATGTGTCAGAAAAGAAATGTGTAGTTAAACAGAAATGGTACTTTAATCATCTGAGCTGTACATGGCCCACGATGTAAAATGAGTTGCCTGCCTTAGCACACACCATTTATATATTTTCTGGACTGTGATTTCCTGTTGTGTTCAATAAACATATGAAATCTAAAAAGACTAAAATAGTGCATTACTAATAGTCAGATCGGATTTGTTTACAATTAAGATCAACATGTTATCGCTGTAGAAATCCTGAAATCATTTTGACAGCTTGAGAAGTTCTAGTGAACGCATGTTTGTGATGCATATAAAGTCTTCAGACTAAACTGATTGTATCACAGAGATACCTGATGTAATTTCCAACCTATGAAACCTAAAGACGTAGAATCAGTGTTACTTTCTAAGCTTGCTTGAGGATAGCTTGAGATAAGTTTAGAATCACTAGATACTCTGTCAGTCGAACAATGAAATATGGCTTAACTGACCTTTTTTTTTTTTATCACATTCACAAATGTACTTTCACTTTTTAATTTCTTCTTCTACAATAGTCCTAACGCTGCATTAAATTGTTTGTTCAAATGCTACTATGTAACAATAACGTATCAGCCTCATTGGCAGGTGTGACTCTGAAGTGTCTGGAGTGCATTTGAAAAAAATTGCATTGCACAGAATCCTCAAGTCAATTTAGTACATTTTATTACTGTTCCACCATTTATACAAGTACATATAATTTTGAATGCATCAATTTCCATATCATCTTTTTGTTTGTTTGTCTGAACGTGTGGTGTGGAAGTAGCAGTGATGAAACATGGGATGAAAATATCAACTGTAGTTGCCATGGATGCAGACTGAAAAATTATAATTTTTTCCACTTGACCAAAAAGACAGGACTACAGGTTCACCCAACCACGGACATGCAAATTACTGAGTCAAGAGAGGAAGAAAAAACTGAGCCAAGTGACAAGCGGCGCTCCTCGAGTGTTTGTTTCTGCTACGGTTTGACGAGTGCTGGGAGGAAAACGCTGAACGTCACATGGATGGAACTGAAAAGTGGCAGATGGATGGCTGAGATGACTAAATATATATATACATATACTTACATACATGCAAAGGTGGAAAGACGAATGTTGGTTTGAATAAGCCAAGCACAATTTTGGGTTGCTGGTACCTTACTTGACTGTTTTGTGCAAAAGCATTTAGCTCAATAAAGTCGTACTACTTCGTCCACTGTGTTCATCATGAAGTACAATCTAAAATCTGAGCTTTCTTGTCCTTCACGTTCTTCCTTCCATCTGTCCTGCTGGTTTTCTTTCACTGTCATTTCTTCCTTTTTCATCTCATATGATAATCATCAAAATGTTTCTACTGTAGTATCAATGATAAAAATCCCTCCTTTGTCTTTCCTGGGCCGGTGTATTCTATTTTCACTAGTTTGCACTGAGAGTGCTGCATAACTGCACTGTGCTAAAGACACAAGCAGCATGACGTACATGCACACAGGTTTAGTACAAGACAGAAATTTGGGTTACACTTAACCAGTGCATTTAAAAGTGATGCTATGGGGTCTTTAAACGTCCACATGTGGCAAGTTAGAACTGTCTCAGTATCACTGTAAACCTGCACATGTGTGAATCTGAATGGGCTGGTTTTTGCTGGTTGCTGAGAGTTTAAGGATGCTCAGCTCTGTAAAACGCTGTAATGTCACCTTAACTTTTTTAACCAGGTAATTCATTAGTAGCGGAGGATGGGTGGAGTTAACACCATGCCGAACAACCGCCACGTCCTACTCGCACAAGTGATGAACACGACTGAAAAACCAAGAATGGAGTCAATACCACAACTGCTGCTTTCTAAGCATCCATCTCTGTGCAAGATTACTCCCACTAAAAACCCTTAAAGGTCTCCATACATGCAATTTGAGCCACACTGTGCAATGTGGTTCTAATACACTTGGGTAAGACGTCATATTTGATGCATACTGTTGTTGGCATACCCACTGGATCACGTGCCATTTATGTCTCTTCTACTTTCTTCTATGCTACATCGTCCTCCCCTCGTCCATCGCAACTCAACCTAAGTCTCTCCTTTGCTGGAATCCTAAAGTTTTGCTGTGGAAGTTTAGTCCCAAGCTATTTTTGTTTGCAGGACTCCACTGCCATGACCAAAAATATCATGATCCTTTCAAAGTCTCACACTGTTTACGGTTTTACACCAAAGTGTTTTGGCTTTTAAAAAAAGTTCCTCAAGCGGTGGAAGCTGGGTGTTTTCAAAAGTGTGCTTGGTGTTTACAGTAAAAATAAATTTGGGTGGAGACATCTATCAATATTGCTAGTTTTTAATGTATCAAAGGTGTACTTTAGTACTTTTCCTTCCACCACTGCACAGATGTACATACATGTAACCTATATTTCCAAACAGTAAAGGAAAATGCACGAATGGCGATAATGACTAAATCAGAGGCTCCCTTCCATGTGCAAGGCCTTTCCTTCCAGCCTTAGAAACATGGACCATATTACACTGAATTGGTTGCTGATGGCTCTGATCGTTTGCTGAAATCCTGCCTCCTGCCTGTTCTTCAGTGGTATCAGACTGTTAGTGGTGGAAAGCTACACTGATTCAAAACCCAGTAAATCAGACCTGGGTCAAACAGCATTGTGAGTGCTCTCGCTTAAGGCCTTTTCACTGCTTTGATACCAAAAGGGTGAGGTTTGCTCAACAGGGCAGACTGCTTTAGTGCTGTAAGGTTTGCTCTGGTAGGGCCATTAAACTTGAATATGAAACGGCTCTACTAGTTGGATAGTGTCTTTTTTAACTGTTGAAATTTCCGTGTCAGGAGATTGTATGTGAGCATGTAACAATTTTATTTCAAAGTAAAAGAATCCACTGTTGACTTTTTCAGAAACATATTGTGCTGCTAATACTTGAATCGAAAGTGTGTCTTGCAGTCAGTTTTACGCCCTTTTACCTTCGCTAAGGAAATGATTTGTCTTCCAGACAATCACAGGATGTTTGAGTGCCAGTCTTGTCTATTTAGGTTACAAAGGCACAACTGAGCATTCACTAACTGAGCTCTACCCATGAAGGAGCAAACATCACCTTCTTGGTATTTTAAGCAAGTTCAAACAACCTCTAAGATGTGACCGTACTGTCTACTTCACCCAGGTCAGCAAAAGATATGTCTTTTCAAACAAACAAAAAAAACGTATACGATAATTTTTACTCTAATTTGTCTTCAGATTTTGCTCGAGGACGAGAGGCTTGCATTGAACTTTCTAAGAACATTTTAGAGATCTTTTCAGCGAGGCTTTGCAGATTATCTAAGCAATACAAATGTTAAAAAACCCACTTAGTTTACTAACAATATAGCTAAGGGTTTCAGTACAAAATGTAGAAGTTTATCTGAAAAATCCTACAACTGTTTAATGTCTAATGTTGTTTTTTTCTCTCTGCAAAGCCCACCTTTACCAACCTTGCGAAATGCCTTAGAAAGCCTGAAAATTCCCAGTCCTCACAATGAATCTCCAAGTAAAAGCTCTTCAAAGAAAGTGGGATCTTTTTAGAGAGAAAAATAGGAAGCAACACAACCCGACAATACCACACACAATCACGCACGACCACAACCACGACTCCACAGCACTGAAAAGCTGGAGGTACCAGGCCAGAGCCAAAATCACAATATTCTGACGAGGAGGATGAGAGGAAGAGGGAGAGCCGAAGAGGGGACAGATTCGACTTGAGTCCAGCTGGTAAGGTGTTTTCTTAACCTCTCCCCTTCCCTCCATCAGAACCCCAAAATTTAGACGTCCACAGATCGAATGCAGGAGCCTTCTGTGGGCTGACGTGGGAATCAGGCCAAACTTTGTGGGACTGTATGAGCGAGAGGAATGGCGGATAAATGGCGAGGCGTATGGCCGACATACACTCGTATCAAAGTTCAAATACTACGGCAGAAAAAAAATAGAATAAAACATAACAATAATAATAGCAATAATCATCTGCAGCGGTGGGAAACTTCTCCAGGTGGTTGCTTCAGTCCTCCTCGATCAACAAATCTTCATCATTACAATTATTATTATTATTGTTATTATCATAATATGGGTGGACTAGTAAATTTCTTTCTTTCTTTTTTAATCTTCATCGTTGTTGAGTTAGGTAATTTATTTCTTCATTTCCGAAAAGTGGCTGTCCATTAATCTTGAACTGCTACGGTTTGATCCTTGCTTGGTGCCTCTGTGGCGTTTGCCTCCTTGGGAGGTTCGGCGGCTGGTGTTGAACTAGGAGCAGGGGTGGCCTCCTTTGCTGGGGCGGGAGCTGCCGCTGCCTCTGTAGGCTTGGGGTCGGGGGAGGCAGCGGGGGCCGCTTCGGCTTTGGCTGCTGGTGCCGCAGGGGCCTCAGTCTTTTTGGCGTCGGCCTCATCTTTGCTCTCGGCTGCAGGGGTGGGTGCCGCGGCCTTAGCCTCGGCTTCCTTCGCGGCCGGGGCCGATTCTTTGGCCGGGGCAGGGGCGGCTGGTTTCTCCTCGGCCTTGGCGGGCTCTGCGCTCTTGGGCGCCTCCGTTTTGGGCTCAGCGTTGGCGGCAGGTTTCTCTGCCTCCTTTGCGGCAGGAGCTGCGTTCTTTTCCTCCTCTTTGGGTGCCGCGGCATCAGCTGCTGGCGCCTCCTTGGCTGCCGTGTCATTAGCTATCTCCTTAGCATCACCGGCAGCTGGAGCCCCGTCCTTGTTGTCTTTCGGTGCTTCGCTCTCCTCTGCTGAGGCCCCCTCTGCTTTGGCATCCTTGTCTTTAGCCTTGTCATCGTTTACACTGTACCCCTTCTTCTTTTTGCTGAGCTTGCCTCCCATTTTGTATCACTGGCCTCTGAAAGAGAAGGAAAAAATAAGACTTTTAGTAAAAGTAGATATTATATCACAGAGAATGCATTCAGGTGAAAATGCATTAAAGCTATAGCAAAATGTATTAACAGCATGTCAAACAACCGCTATGGCATTCTGTCTGAGACGTATGTGTGTTGTGTTAGAGAGATATCGCCTTAAGTTAAAACTAGGCTGGGTTGCACTTTCATGTAATACCATGTTAAAGCACTAGGAGGTGCAACGAGTCACATTTCCCAGAAATCCAAAATCATCCGCACCAAGTTTTATTCAGGCTAGTCTTAGCTCAATGTTTGTGCACTAACAGAAACCACAGAACTGCAAATGGAAGAAGCATGGATCTGGATCATATTAGTGAGAGGTGTGAATGGGCGGGAACCCTAACCCTGTAGTGTTGGAAGGCATATAATCAAAGACCTGGAAGGGAAATATGAGGTGTGTAGATGCATTGATTGACCAGCCAAAGACCGGAAGTTAGATCAGATTCACATTTACTTTTTAATTAGAGTTTTTATTTTTAGCATTGAAATTTCAAATATTTAAATTTTCTGAAACTATATTTGTTTGGCATGTGGCTAAAATGCAATCTAACCTGAGTCCCAAGAGATTTGCCAGAATCGGGTGGACATTGAGAGGTTATGAGCTAATCTTCATAAGCTATTGGCCACTGAAAGGTTGTTGTTTTGTTGCACCATCAGTCTTCACTTCTTATTTGAGACAAAAAGTGCAAAATCTGGACCGTGTAATGTGTATGCAGAAGCCACGCATTTCTGGAAAACCAGCTCTCAAATTACATTTTTTAATGCATTCTTTCAGCATGACCCACATGCCCCCCAGAGAGAGGCACAGCATGATATTTTCATTTTCCACATATTACAACAGAGAAAAAACTAGATGAAGTAATAGTCATCGGAATAATTGATGTTCACTGTATGAAAAATGCAGAAGCCTTTAAACTACAAGTCCAAAAAAGAGACCTCGCTCATGTATTCCATCATCCTGGACAACACAGAATAGGCACATCTAGTTTTTCAGCTTTCAGATCAGGAACATCTAATTATAAGTGTACAAAAGAGCTTTCAAAGCTCAGATGCCAGCAGTAAGAGGAAATTCAAATAAGTTACTGAGACAACACTCAAATCAAACTGTCTCTTAAGTTCCTCAAATGGCTGCCGAACATGGCTAATTAAATTCTTATCTTGGTTGATGGGAAAGACTATTTTTGCAGAGAAGTAGACATAAAAAAGATCTGTGTTTGACTGGGTAAAATAATAGTTGCTGTTTTAGTGTGCAGAATGAGATTTCTGGGGTTAAATCTTCTCAGTGCAGAGATTAGTATCCTATGGGTAGTGATAAAGCGAGAGAACCGATACCAAGTATGAGTTTCTGTAATTCTGATTAACACGAATTAGCCATACAAGTTCTGCAGTTTGTCTCCCACCTGACTGAAATGTTTTCAGTCTTTAGAATGACCAATTAGTTCATTAGCCTCATATCACCAGTAGGCACACTCCTCAACCTTCTAGCCGCCTGAGTAAGATGTTATCATCCTAGTGGCTCCATGTTGTAGTGATTAATGCATGCACCTTACTCATGGCAGACAGATCCCTGGTTTAAGACCAGGGAGAGACACAAACCCAGCCTCAGGGGGTCACGAGACAGTATGCTCCTGGTGCTGATCCCAAGACCGGAGTAATGGAAAGGTTGTGTTGGGAAGGGCAGCCAGTGACAAATCAGACAAGTTAATCTGTCCCCTGTGCTGACTTCGGAAATAAGTGATCAGCTAAAAGTTAACTCTTTGTAGGATAAAATAGTTTTGAAACATCCTCAATACCTGGAGAAGAAGCTGTCATCTTTTCTTAAACCCAACCAACCCAACCAACCCAAAACCCGATGCAAGATACTGGATGTCAAACCTAATGCAACACAAGCTAAATCCAACAGATGAGCCTTGAGAAAACTATGAACACTGCCTCATATTACAGCTCCTGCATATGAATCAAATGATCACAGCCTCAAAAGAAGGTCACCAACTACTGGTGCAGCACTTTTTTGCCCGATAACAATTCATAATGCGAATACAATATTGGTTGATAATGTATGAAATGGGTTATCTGTCCTTGATCATGTATCTCATGAAAATTAATGATAATAGAATAATAAATAGCACCTGGTAGAGAATTTCTTTCCTTATTTTCTGTCATATATCTCATCCCAACAGTGGATTAATTTGAAAACATGGTCAAAACTTCAATGTAATCCTTTTTAATAAAGCCTGACCCCCTGCCACCTTTAAGATGAATCTTTGGGGCAACAAAACTGGCTGATGAACGTTTTCATACCCAGCATTTCTACATTCAAGTTATTCATGAATAAATGAAAATCTCAAATTGTACTGCAGGAAATTCTATCATCAGGATGGAATATTTCCTTGAAATACTCAACCAGGATGTGAAGCACACAGGGAATCTATAAAAAAGGCTGGTTTGGAGCGCTGTAAATCACCAGTCACTAAGCAGGCAGAGAAATGTGTGTGTGCAGGCTCAGTACACACCCCCACCCCCATAGACACACACACCTGCAGATTCCTGGCTCAGTCTTTCAGTTGAAGATTTTTTTCACGAGTGTCACCATCTGCCTGCTTCATAGGGGAGAGGACTTCAATGCCACAATGAATCAAGCTTATTAGGAGCAAAGGATCAAAGATGGAAGCGTGTCGGATAAGATCCCTCTACGCCGATGATTAAAATAGAGAAAAAGAAAGTCGTAATTTTATTAAGCTATTCTTCTTAAAGCAGTTTGAATTCATCAGTGTATGTGAAATATGCAATTCAGCTGCCTTACCAACAAGGTAACGGATAAAGATCACCATCTTAGAAACTTAAATCAAGAGGCTATGTTACGTTACGTGTGCAGACGTTTGCGTTGCCTTTTGAGTTTTACCTCCAGCAGAATGTTTTTGAATTGGCTGAGCAATAAAAAAACCCCCAAATAATTATTTTCTTTTTAAATGATAAAAAAAACTGCCCTCTGTTACTGAATGTCTCAAATGGGGCCATGTTGACGGACCGACTTCACAAGACCTTTTTATTATTCCTCAGTTATGTGGTTAACGCCAAGGCGTCCTCTTTGTGCTGCCACTTGTAAAAGTGTGAAATCTGTCAAAACGGCTCTGAACGCAGACGTGACCTTTTCCTCCCAAACAAACCCGACCACTGAGAGACTCTGCCGGCTACTCACAAATTTGCCCTGCGAACGGGCCGAGCTGACGGTGAATCCACTCAAAATGCTAATCGCCTTGTCGCCACTGACTAAATTACTCCACTATTCACGCAATGTTCCTGCGGGCGTCCAACAGTTGGCATCTGCCAGGGCCAACGTTCCTGCCGCAGCTTTATACGACCCACAATGCAAGTCTCTCTGCCGCATCACATCATTTGACTCCCGGCTTGTGCTGCCAGTACAATGACTCATGATCATCAGGCAAACAATGGCTATTCACACGAAAGGCACGCTTTCTCACTGCTGGGCGTGTGGTTTTAGTATTTGAAGAGCTGGGGCAGGGCTGAGACAACCAGGAGAAAAGGCCCCCAGCTGACAAAAGACTTAATTTAACCTGCACACTGCAGTCACAGAAGCACAAAAGCAAGTGTGAATGGTCCGTTATGACCTTCCAACATGGCTTTGTGTGGACAATAACATCAGTGCTTAGGAAAGGTGGCCACTTCTATCTTAGTGGCTTGAATGGAAGTAAAAAATGAGCAACTAGAAGGCAGAGAGCAAAGGTCCAAAAAACACTGGACAAACTTCCAAGCCACACATAAAAAGAGAATCCTTTGTTATTTTTATCAGTTCATCTTTACGCCGATTCCTTGACATTTTATTTCACACTCTGCAAGGATTTGGAATCAAGTATCTCAATCCACTTAGACACACTTTCATTGTTACGGTTGTAAGAAGCTAATCTTCTAACTGTGGAAATCCCTGATCTCATCACTGTGAAATCGCTTCTTGTGCTCTGACCAGGGTTGATCTGCATTTCCAAATTTCATAACTGTGTTTCGAGATGAGAGAGACTTCACTGGCTTAACTGAAAATGTGTTTAATAGGTGAAACTTTAACCTTTGCGACAGACTAAAAACGCGACAGAGAAGTGAAGGGTACTCACTACATCTGGGGACTCCTACAGTCGCTCAACAAATTGCCATCATTGGATTCTTTTATCTTTGCCCAACAGGAGTCATCCCAGGACTCTGAATAATCTGATGATCCTTCATGACCAAGAGTGGGGAGTTAAAAACTCATTTTTAACAGGAAGAAGCCTCATGCAGGGGACGGCCATATGCCGCAGATGGTTGGGTGAGGGGAAAGGGAAGAGTGTAATTTTACTCTTAAGTTACTGGAATTGTTCAGTCTTCGCCACTGTACATTTGTTTCCAGAAGATGCTGACAAACAGCAAAAAAAGGCTTTCAAGCTCAGCTAAAGTCAAATTAAAGACGCTATTGAAATCCCATAAAAGAACACTGAGCAGTCAGCATGTTTAAAAAGCAGCCCGTAGAGACCTCAGCAAACGTCGATGCATCTTTCTAAGGTCCATTTATTCTTCCTGAGACTGCACACACCCAAGATTAACACACCTGCGCGTTTCTTCTTCTACTATTCCCCACTGTGTTCAGCAGTTGCCTCCTTTAGCCACAGACTTTCCAATCCCTCAGCCTCTCGAGCTGCTGAGTTAACAATACCCACGATTGATTACAGCAGCGGCGCACGGCGAAAAAGCATTTAAAGATTATTAAGTGACGATCATGTCCGTGTCTGGCGAGTCAAAAAGGCGGCAGAGAGGTTTAGGATGAGCAGAAGTCCCTGAAGGAGCAGATGGCTGAGCTTCTCCAGCTCTCACCATCTCTGGCGAGTCATCTGTCACGCCCACACATCGACACCACTGCTCAGCTCTGCTCCACTTTTCTCCACATCTTTGCTCCTTT